CTTGCAGACACCGCTTTGGTATCCCACGTTATCCACGGACAGATTTACAGAAGTCTGGGACATCGTGAGATTTATTGCTTTGGTTTTATCTACTAAGGAGCAATAAATTCTTCCGAGAAGTTAACTCTATACCATTCCGGCTCTTTCCTTTCCGCCCAGCCTCGAGGGAAAAGGTGTACTTAGGAAATAAATTCCTAGCGCATCCACCATCATTTACTCCAGTGCATTCCCATCGTAAGAAGAACAAACCCAAGGAGTGATGATCAAGCACAAGATGAACACTTCATGCATTTTATTGAGTCTATTTAAATTTGCATTATGACATCTTACATAGGGAACAAACTCCTCCTAAATGTTAGCTATCAAATCGGGTCAAACTGGTGTCCAATGACCTCAGAGTACCATTTTGTATTAAACAACTCCAGTATAAACAGGTGTAAAGCACTGTACAAAAAAAAAAAGGAAAAAAACAAAAGAAAAAAAAGAAAACTGTTACATTCTCAGTTGGATTCAGGGCTTCCCAACCAACAGCCTTACTAGCAGATGACAGTGAAATTCAGGAAGGGGTCTCAAGTATTTGAGCTTAAGGGAACAAAACCAAATAAAACAATCAAAACAAATTCAATGGTACGTTTCCCCATAAGAAAAAAGAAGAATAAAAAGAGATACTTCCTACCAAAAAAGAGGTTGGGAAGCCCTGGTTTAACAGATGCAAACTTCTTTTCAACACAACACAACTTGTATGTGCTTTGGGTAAGTTACCATCCATTCCGTCTCTTTGCCCTCCTCCTTCCCTCCCTCGCGGAGGATAAACAAACAAAAAGCCTTGTGTATGCGAGGGTTGGAAATATTTCTGACTTTGTTATGAATTCCCTTAACGTGGCTCCAAGCCAACCCTCCTCCAAAGCCCCTCCTCCTGGGAGAGGGCAGGAGGGCTTGGGGTGACAGGCCCAGGGGGAATGGCCTTCAGCTGGAGGGGGGCGGATTCAGATAGAAGGAAAAATCCTTCTCTACGAGGGTGGTGAGGCACTGGGACAGGTTGATCAATAAATTTATGGATGCCCCATCCCTGGCAGTGTTCAAGGCCAGGCTGGATGGTGCTTTGGGCAACCTGGGCTAGTGGAGGGTGTCCCTGCCCATGGCAGGGGGTGGGACTGGATGGGCTGTGAGGTCCCTGCCCACCCAAACAATAATTCTATGATTTTAAGGCAGAGGAGCAGGCAGACATTTCCATCACGGCTGTGTACCTCATCGGCTCCACACTTGTTTACAAACCCTTAATCAAGCAACGGGAGCCCCCGCGGTAGGAGCAAGGATGACCGGTGAGAAAACCCAGACATCAGTTACACGAACGTACTCATTAATGAAAGGGGGCCCAAACTAATGGCAAGGCTGCGGCTAAGCCGACAGGATGAAGCTCTGTATTGCAGTGTGACAGAGAAAAAAAAAACCCCTGGTCACACTGCTACAAGTCAGAGACCGATGGTCAGCCTTAACGCATTTCTGTTCTCATCTTCGTGAGACCCTCGTTATTACGAGACCACTGGGAACGTCCTCTCTGTGTCGGCAACCATCTCAAGATAAACACTGACTGTGGACAGACCAGGGAAACAGTCCTCTGGACGCTCCGCATTTGCATAATCCAGACAAGTGACAGGAAACTGGAATGACAGTCATTATGGCCCATTGTGCCAACTTTGGTGGGAAATCCCTTCGGTTGGAAGTTGACACAATGGACAATTATGGCTCCTTCAAAACTGGTACGGATCATGTCAGCCCAGCTGCCGTGCCTGCACCTCAGTACTTCCTACAAAACATCTTTAAACTTTTAATGAGTAATTTCTATGCATGCAGTACCTACACTAATCAAATAATTTTTAAAATAAGTCAATTAACTGCCTACAAGTTCTTTGCAAAAAACCCAACCTGTTCAAAGAAATAAAAAAGTGCATGTGAAAGGGAAATCTAACCAACCCCAGGAGTAACTCTTCACAGTCTTTTAACCGATAAAGCCCCAATTAAAAAAAAAAAAAAAAAGGCAAGCAAGCACCCACAAGTCCGTATGGGTTCACAATCTGAGTTAAACTAGCAAACGCATTCTTAAATAAAAAACACTGCGCGTTTTGCCTTGTGACTGCTTTAATCGCCGTGTATGGAGGTCCAGGTCTGGAACTGAAGGAATTAAGCTCACACCCCAGACAGATATTCACAGCAGGAGTTTGGGTGGTTTGGAGTTAGAAAAAACCACCACGATAACTACCGAGGCAGGCAATACCAGGGAACCTCCTTCAAAAATAAAATAAAAGCAGCAGCTTTCAACGCCAAAGAAACCGTGCTGCTCGGAGCGAGGGAAGGCTGAGGGAGGCTCCCACACGGTGGCACTGTGACCCAGGCAGCTGCCTGCCGCCTCAGACTCATTTCTGTACAGCCAGGCCTTGGAAAAATGCAGGATTGGCCCTTTTAACCCTTCGTACGGCGACAAGCACGAGTGAAGCGGCCGTCTCCCTCCTGAAACGCCAAGAAAGCATAAACGGAGGGAAGCGAGAAGTACAAAGGCTCGATACCAAAATGATTCATCAACTGTAAATTGGGCTAATCGTGAACCCGAGTGTCTTTCTACTTGGTTAGCAATGGAAGTGTTAATAGTGGCTTCTCCTAACTCCAATCTAACTTTAAAAGAATAGAAATTGAATTACCACAGAGGCTGACTGATGACTCAGCTACATAAAGAGGTCTCTGCTGTATCAGCAATTTAATTTCTGCCAACTCCTCCAGACATCAGGCAACAAACCCCCAGCGCCTTTAGCACACTCAGTGTTGGAAAAGGCATATAAAACACTGAGAACATCCAAGGGCTCCTGAACTAAGGTTAAATTATTTGTTCTTGGTACCATTTGGGAAACCTCCAGCATTTTATTAGTTGCTATTGTTACAGAAAGATAAAATGTTAAGGCATGCCACTATTAAGCTATAACAAAACTGTAAAATGGTTTCTACCAACGTGAACAGTTACCGGAAACTCAGAACATTAAAAAGAAAAGCCATGTTGAATGACACGTATCACAGCCGAGCTTCACATTAATTAGCACTAGTGGGCTCCTTTCTTTCTGGTCACCAGCCTCAGTCCTCAGAGATGTACATCAGACATTCAAAATCTAACACAGCATTCACATACAGAGGGTTGTTGGATTTTTTTCCTTCTAACTCTACACTCTGTAAGTCAGTAAAGCCGCTGGCAACTGATAGCACGTCTTTGCTATGCGAATGCCTTCAGAAATGTTATTTTGTTGAGGAAATTTTGGCATAGAGAGCCCAGCACCTGAAATTAATACCTAACTTCCAATTTTACAGTGATGCATGTCAGAGGGAAAAATTCAAAACCATGAGCTTATTCATTCTTCTGTTCAAAAAGAATCCCCTCTGCCACGATGCTGTGTCCCACCAGGAGGAAAGCAAGCTCAATAGCCAGTCAGGGTTTCCCACTGAACCAAACACCACAAAACCCACACGGAGAAAAAATTTGGATTGGAACATCGTGGAATCCTTAACTAGCTGACAAGATGTTAAAATGGCTTAGAGCAGAGACTATAGTTTTTTGCAACCACCACTATAGAACACCAAAAATCTGTTTTCATTAGGAAGAAGAGATAGGCCAGCTTTGGTTTTGTCATCTGAGGAACAAGCAATATTTCCCATATAGCCAGCAAGAGCAGTTCATATCGCTTTATCACTACTGCCCTGGGATCGAAATAAATACTGCTTTCCCTGCTGCACATGTAAGCTAGGGGAAAAAAAAAGAAATCATTACAGAATACAGCATAGAACGGGGCATCGAGGGTGAAGGATGTTTTCCCCTGACACTGAGGAGAGTTGCAGTACATTCTCCAATTCTCAATTTCAATATGCCACATACATAATTTCAAAAGTAAATTCAAGTCATTTCAATCTGTGCAATTGGTGTATAAAGGGTTTATGGGTTTTTTAATGTTATTCTTAGAACTGGCTATACATTTAAAGTGTACTCCCATAATCAATTGTAATCTTCAGATTTAAACTAACACTCTAATAATTTGTTTTCCAGTTAATGCTTAAGTTATTTTTCTGCAGCACTGGAGTTACCGGCTACCAGCACTGGATGCATCAGCAGATAAACCTCAGCAGATCCAGAGGTTACTAATATAGTCAAAGCTGGTGGGGAAAAAAAAACAACACCCTGTTGATACTTGTCTGCTGAATAGTTACACAAACTGAAAGTAAAAGTTGATATAAAAATTGGGCATCAGCCTCACTGAATGAACTGGTACATACCAGTTTGTATTATTACGTATCAGTAACCACACCAAGAAATAACCAGCCATTAGAAGAGTTTCTAATTTTTATCATCTTTTTTGGTGGCATTACTGAGCCAAAACACTGCAATTATCACATTTAATTTCCATTTTTTAATGCAATTAAGATGTCTAATTCAACTGTTTTTATATTACAGTAGCTGTTCACATAAATAGTACAGATATGCACTGCTCTTGACAGGTACACAGTTACAAAAGCAGCTCTCGTATTTAGTTTGCTCTCTGTGTGGTGGGTTTTGTATGAAAAGCATTCTTGATTTCTAAGCATGGTACAATTTTAATTCTTAATGCGTTAGTACAACAGTGCATTGGAAAAGTACTGAGCTTCTACAAAAAAGCTTTACAATTTTAAAACAGATTTTTTTTTTTATTTAAACAAGCATAGGCAATTCTTATATTTCCACAACAAGATAAATATCCCAATTAAGCTAACAGCTCATCCTACAGCGTGCCATAGTGATGGGGAAAGGGCTAACATTAGTGTTATTTACACAGACATGTCCAATATTAACCCGGTATGAAAATTAAAAGTATGTTCAAGTGTGCAATTAAGTTCATATTTTTTCAGATAGTTGGATTTCTTGCAAAAATTCCTCTACGACTCATGTACGTTTAGCTGGGATGACGTCTCAAAGAACTCCTCCTAAGCACAGGGCAAAATGTTTATTGGACTGGGATGGCAGGGGCTGGGTGGGGGAAAGAACTTAATTATCTTCACAAAGAAAGAACTATTTTTAAGCGGGCAGATGTCTTTGGACAAGTGAAATTTAACACCCATACTGACTAGATCTTGAAAACCCTAATTAAAGAAATTTTCTGATTTTAAAAGCTTGAATTCAGAGAAAATGCTTTCATGAGGGAAGATTCACTCCAAGTCATTACTATACATTGAGGAACCACTCAAAAAGTGGCCATAAAGGAAGTGACTTCTTTGCCCATCACTATCACACTAGCTGCTTGGCCATAAATTCAGATCTCATTTAGACAACACTCTCTCTGTTACCAGAAGCTAAGACTGCTCTGCGACAAATGGGACAAGTGGAATTTTCTGATAACCAGCGATCAATGCAGTGGACGTGATACTCGTGCGAACAAGGCAATTTACGGAGCTTGTTGCCTTCCGTGTACTCTGTGATACACACACTACAGGTTTTCAGAGCATCGCTCTCACCAAAATTCCTCATCGCTAGGTTGTCAATTTGTTCTTTGGTGAGTCCTCTTGGTTGGTCATCATCATCTTCATTTAGTAGGAAAAATTGTGCTAGGCTAAGGAATGGTAGAGAACCACTTTCTTCAAATGTGACCGATCCCCTTGTATTCCGACCTTCCCGTCTGGCCCCAGATGTCGAACCACCTTCATTCCCACCTTCATACACCTCCCCTGAGCTAACATCTGTACCTTCGTTGCTTGAAGTACCACCACCTCCGGGCTGCGGCTCAGCAGCATCCACGTTCTGATTTGGAGTTGGGCCACTAGGATCTGCATCGCTATCGCTATACATGAAGTAACTCAGCTCTCCGAAGCCTGTCATTATCTGCCTTAGCATAGTCTGAATAGCAACTGATGTAGTCTCACTTAAGCCTGTGTTTAAGATCCTACGGATAGGAATCCTAATGGTACTGACGTAAGTTCTCACTCCAGCCCGTTCTGAACGTGAAAATGTGCGCCTAAACCCTCCCCGTTCGCTTTCGTAAGTGACTGTGTTGTTAGGTGTCTGGGACCTGGACCGAGTTCTGTTGGCTATGCTGTCTCTTTGCCGATATTCTCCCGGACGAACTCTTCTCACCTGAAGATCAAGTACTATGGTGGGAGGCCTCTGCCCAGGAGCTGCAGACTCACTGGTGCCGTTAGTTTCTGAAGAACCTGCCGCTTGAGGAACAGGTCTCGTCTCGGGGGTTGAAAACAGAACTGCATTTTCACTTGGCATCTCAGTCCCCACTGTATGCTGTCTTACTGTCACATGCTGCCTAGTTCTAGAGCTTCCCTCAGCTTCATTCGCTGAGGAGTGGTCAAGTGTTTGAGATGATGTATTGTGATGAGACCTGCGAGGAGTCTCATTCACTGGATTAATAGGTGACCTACTTCTATCAGTCCTAGCCCGCGTTCTCCGCTGTTCTGGACTCCTACTTCTCGCTCTCCTCTGCCCTCTAGGAGGGGAAGCTTCCTCAGTTGTTAGCTCCTCTGAAGTGCTCCTTTCTGATCCAGGCTGCCTTACAGATGGTGATTCAGACCTCGGAATTTCAGAGTCACTTTGGCTGTTTTCCAAATCCTCCCCACTGGAAGGCTCTACAGATGGCTCATTCTCAGTTTCTGGATTTGTGTTCCCATTATTACGGTTGACATTTATTTCCAAACTGAATCTGAAGTCACCACTATTTGGGTTAGTCCGGCTCACGGCTCTCCAAGACTGGTTTCCTCGTTGCCCACTTCGTGTTGTATTTCCAGTCTGTCGGACTGAATTAAGCCAGTCTATTATAGAATCGCCGTTTGACACATCTTCTGCGGACTCTGCACCTGCGAAAAAGACAGGGAACTACCGAAATTAGAGTACTGAGCTAATTTTGGAGTGATCTTTTCCAAGAACATAATTGCTTAGTATAACAAGTGACAATTTAGAAGTGCTTAATCCTACCAAGTGCTATTGTGGTTTCACACATAGCATCACAATTCTTATCTACCAGAGCTCTTTTAAGGGAGCAGGAGTGGATGTTTTTCTAATATGTACAGATAGGCTGCAGCCATCACGTAGCAAACGAGTCATCAAAATAACACATATTGTTCATCGTAAGTAAATGGAAAGTCACATTTCAGGTGTCGTAACACATCAATATTCTGTGTTTTCCTTTCCAAGCAATTAAGTGATCTATCGACTGCTAAATAGAAAACTAAGTTTGTCCTGACCCTTCACTTGAAGAATGGCTTTATAGCAAGTCTATCTCGCTAAAGAATGAACCCCAGTGGCAAGCTCCAAGCCTCCTCCACCAATCTCTATAGAAGGGTGATAACGAAAGCAGTACAGCATCTTTGGGAGGGAAGAATGGTGAATAAAAAAAAAAGAAGGATTGCAAAAAAGCACCCCAGAAGGGAGCAGACAGGAAGGCAATCTTAAATTAAAAGAAAAAAGAAACCTAAATATCTTGATGCAAGTAACAGATGTGTTATGAGTGAGATCTGTCCCAAACTGACCTCTGCAGCAGATACCAGACATAACGTTCACTTAGTTTTGAAACAAAGCTCACCTTGCACCTGCCTAGGCTTAACTTGTTCCACTCCTGCACTCAAGTTAAGGTCCGTATGGGGTGCTAAAGTTAAGAGTTTTCACAAATACTGTATATACCTCTATTCTCATCACTGTTTTGCTGTGGCGGACCTTCTTTAACTTGGTGTAGCCTTCTCAGCAACTCTTCTTCAGTAATTTCACCTTAGAAAATAAGCAAAATTTTCCAAAAATATTTCCAAATCATATGTATGGCAAGCATTATCAAAAACTTCTAAAGAAGGTACAAGCCACCACTTGTCTTTTTTTTTCTAATTAAATCCTGCCATAATGAGACTGCCAAACAGGTTGCTAAGAGGAAGTTCAGACACTTCAGCACCATTATCCCAAGTAAGTTTTGCTGAAGCTGAAATATCCAACATTTTCAACCTATTTGAGAGATGTGCTTTCTGGTTCTGTAACCTCTACCACTTAGCAGCAATTTTCATCATCCTATACCAATTACATGGCTGTCCAGGGTAAAATATTTAAGAGAACACCTTCACAAGCATGAAAAAAGGTTTAAATTAGTCGAAGTCATGTTTTAAATTAGAACTGGTTTGAATTAGGTATCATCCTACAGAGAGTCAAGTTAAAGTAATAAGTCAATTGAAAACTGACATAAAAATGCCCATGCAGAATCTCGCGCCAGACTCCTTGTCCTAGTTACAAACTCTTAACCTCACCAGCACAAAATTTTCACCCAAATGCTTAAGGGAGATTATTTTTTGATCAAAAATAACTAAGGGCCCATAACTGGAGCTGGGTCAACTCTGGGCCGTCCTGACAAGTTGTGTAAACACTAGACTTTTGCATCTCCTAACTACCTCTCCACTAGTCAGGGGACCACTCAAATTTGAGTATGCACAAATTAGTAAGAAGCTACTTCCTACCACGGAACACAACTGCAGCACACAAACTAAATGGGTGAAACAGTTTCAGGAGCACAGAAAATGACACAAATCGCCTACAAGCGATTCTAGTAAGATGTACATACACAAGCATTACCTACCTGGTGTGCCTAGCAAATTGTTATCTCTCATAAGCCTGTAGTCCTCTTCACTCAGGTTGTTCACAAACTGATAGAAAGCTTCTTCTCGATCTAACCGGTCTAGCTGACTCTGACGTTGTGCTTCTGATTGATCAATATTTCCTTTATCACTAGAATCTGAGCCTTCCATCTTGATGAGTGGAAGAGTACCTAAAAAGGAGAAAATAAATCCTTCATCCAGCATAGTGAAATATAGCATGAAATTTAGGTATGTTTAACCTGTGCTACGGCCTTCATTATTATCCTTAAATTTGGAGGGGGGGTGCACTTTGCTAATGAAGCTTCAGTTAAGATAAGCTGCATAACCACAGGGATCACAAATGAAATAATGCTCAAAGCATGAACCTCTTCCAGAAGCACAAACAAAATCTATGCTCACTGTGGTGGGTTGACCCCAGCTGGAGGCAGGTGCCCACCAAAGCTGCTCTATCATCCCCCTCCTCAACTGGACAAGGGAGAGAAAATACAACGAAAGGCTCATGGGTCAAGATAAGGACAGGGAGAGATCATTCACCAGTTACCATCATGGGCTAACCAGACTCAACTTAGAAAAAATTAATCCAATTTATTACCAAGAAAACAGAGTAGAGCAATGAGAAATAAACCCAAATCTTAAAACACCTTCTCCCAGCCCTCCCCTCTCCCTGGGCTCAACTTCACTCCCAAATTCTCCACCTACGCCCCCCAGCAGCACAGGGGGACAGGGAATGGGGGCTGTGGTCAGTTCATCACACATTGTCTCTGCTGCTCCATCTTCCTCAGGGGGAGGACTCCTCACACTCTTCCCCTGCTCCAGCATGGGGTCCCTCCCACGGGAGATAGTCCTCCACGAACTTCTCCAATGTGAGTCCTTCCCACGGGCTACAATGCTTCACCAACCGCTCCAGTGTGGGTCTCTTCCACGGGGTGCAGACCTTCAGGAGCAAACTGCTCCAGCGTTAGTCCTGGCAGCAACCCTGTTCTGGCGTGGGCTCCTCTCTCCACGGGGCCACAGGTCCTGCCAAGAACCTGCTCCGGCATGGGCTTCCCATGGGGTCACAGCCTCCTTCGAGTGTCTCCACCTGCTCCGGCGTGGGGTCCTCCAGGGGGACGACCTGCCTCACCATGGTCTTCTCCCCAGGCTGCAGGGGAATCTCTGCTCTGACGTCTGGAGCACCTCTTCCCCCTCCTTCTTCACTGACCTCGGTGTCTGCAGAGTTTCTTATCTCTTCTCACTCCTCTCTGATCCCATGGGGTCACAGCCTCCTTCGAGTGTCTCCACCTGCTCCGGCGTGGGGTCCTCCAGGGGGACGACCTGCCTCACCATGGTCTTCTCCCCAGGCTGCAGGGGAATCTCTGCTCTGACGTCTGGAGCACCTCTTCCCCCTCCTTCTTCACTGACCTCGGTGTCTGCAGAGTTTCTTATCTCTTCTCACTCCTCTCTGACTGCAAAAGCTGCTGCTTTTTTTTTTTTTTTCCTTCTTAACTC